CATCTAAAGTCCCTCGATGCGTGTAAGCGGCAAGGAAATATATATATTCCTTCGATCGCGTGTACGAAGGAATTAAATTTCAGTGTCAAGTATCAGAAGGTTAGGAGAATATTGTGTGTAGATAAACCTTGCCACCCCTTGCCCCTGGGGGAGCCCCATACACAATGTGGAGATGATGAATGGGCATTGGGAGAGGAGATCGAAGCGAGGGCCGTCTTGCCTCAACTCTCTCCTACAAAACTATAGGGCAATTAATTGTGCCTTGTCCCCTCATCCTTCATCTCCTTGTGGCACATATCGATGGAGATTACTGCTGATGGACCATTTTATCACTTTAAATAAACAGTCACCACCTCTTCTAACCTCAATCTAATATATGGGCCACGAGTCCTCCTTGGAAAACGGTGCCGCTCCTGTTGGGGAGAAAACAGAAGGGTGGAAAAGAGCTACAATAGGTTGAAGATATGGTGGCAATTGAGGGAAATATATACACCGTACAGATATGTACGTCGAGGTTTAACCCCAAGGGGCTCCTCTTCATCGCTCCCACCCCTCCCGCTTGCCCGCCAGGCTGGGAGCGTGGCAAAAGACGCTCGCCAGACAGACGGCTAAATGCGCGGAAGGGGGCGGACTGTGCAACCTGCCGGTTCGTTTCACACGTTGCAGAGCGCGGCGAGGGGCAGGAACGTCCCTTGTTTTGTTTTTCAACCTCAGTGGTGGTGGTGGGGGGCAGCGAGGGGGCGAAGATGCGTTTCAAAACTAGACTTCAAGAGCAGAAAAGCAGGAATGAGGCGGCAGTTGTAAAGGCGCGGTGTCTCTTTGGCTCTGCCTTAATTAAGGGATTTCAACTCCATAAACTGCCCTTACTTTAACAGAAAGGTGGCTGGATATCTTGGACTTCTAGTAACCAGTAAGCAACTTAAACGTGTGTGTGTGTGTGTGTGTGTGTGTGTGTGTGTTAGAAATAATTGCACTAGGCCAAAAGCGTCTTATTGGGTTATTGCTTATTTGCAAATCTTAGGATAGGAAACCTTCCCCAAAGCACCGAACTTTTTTTACGCTCGTGGACGCCGTGAAAGAGAAAAGGACGGGAATTCTGTTTCATCTCCAGTAAAACAAAAACAAAAAACTTTACTTGCTCGAAAACTTTGGGATGCATTAAAAGCTTTTACTACGTCATACCCAGATTGCTCATTTCACCGTATCCATTCCACTCTCAATTCTCTCCATTTGCTGTGATCTCTTTGCTAGAATATTTCCGCTAGAAAGAGCAAATCTTCAATGTTTGAAAAAAATAAATAAAAATCAATCTGTGCGGGCAATATCTTCTCCACGTTAACCTCAAATTAATTTATGTCAAGAACTGGAAATTCCTAAGTGCCAAAGACAGCTGTCAAGTGTCTATTTATCTGGAAGTCGATGTGTAAGTGAAATAATGACGGTGTGTGTGTGTGTGTGTGTGTGTGTGTGTGTGTGTGAACTGGTAAATTAGCTACTGTTCATGTTATGGAATCATTGCCATGCAGCGAAACAGATGCCTTAACAGACGTATGAAGTTACATGACATCATACCATTTTCAATTTCATATATTAATGTCAACAATAATAAATAGCATTATATTATAATGGATAGTAATGATATTGGTGATATAATGAGTATGTTACTTAATACTAATCTAGGGATGGAGCATTGCAACTTTTTCTTCTGCTTGCACCACAGACTTTAATTAAATTTTAGCATTCCAGTTTGTATTTTGCCTGGAAAGCATTTAAGCTGAATAGTGTTACTGACAGCTGGATTTGTATCCTAATTAAGCGAAATATTGGAACTCGACTCATTAGGGCTTAGACTCCATCCATGGAGTAAATAGCCACTAAAATTACTAAATGTGTTTTGGGTAAGAGTGCTAAATGATAATCCAATAACTTGCTTTAACTGGGCTAAGGGTGACAAAAAATAACATGCGTTTTACAATAGTCAAGGCAAGATTAATGATGGGGAATAGGGCAAGCAAATGAAGGCACCATCAACACGCACAAGTCCTTGTGCTGCCCTCTGCCCAACATTTCTGACTTTCTGACCCAGGACTTCTAAAATGCCCAACTATTTATTTATTTAGTTATTTGTTTAGATATCGTCTCCAGTCCCAGCTAGAAACCTGGGTGGTTTGAGAAGTATTCCCCTCCAGTTGCAGTAGAGCTCGTGTGTTGCGTTTGCTACTAAATGGAGCGAGTAGCACCTCCGTCCAAGCGTTCTTGTTCCGAGCAATGGGCACATTCGAACGGACCGGACAGCACGCGAAATGGGGAGAAGCGAAACAGCGAAACAAAACTTCATTCATTTGGGCACCAGAAAGGCCGGTGGCAGCGGGGAGGAGGAGGAGAAGGCGATAGGAGGTCTCTGTTTCCCGCTCAGCTCTAGTGGCCTTCGCAGCCAGCTCGCCAGTACCTCCCACCTCCAGTTAGGTCCCTTCAAAGAGCAAGCGCCAGCTCCTTTGCTGTAGAGACGGACCCCCCACACTCACACACACCCCTCTCGCACCCCGCCCAGCCTTGCGCCAGTCTTTTGACGGTCCCTGGTCGCCGCCGGAGAAAGGATTTGGGATCCTCTCGGACAGCCCAGAACAGACGGATCCGGCGACGAAGTTGCGGCCACAGGGAATGAAAAGGAGGGTGGGGAGCTCGAGGTCGGAGCATCGACGGCCCGATCCACCAGCAGCCTTAGCTCCGGGCTCTTAGACTTCTTGGCCTGCCGCCCAATGATCGGAAGGAAGTCCCTTTTTGCAAGGGAGGGAAAGAGAAGGGAGCGGGCCGGGTCGAAGCCGAGGTTTGGGATGGGGGAGGCGACGGCCCGAGCGGGGTTGGCGCGAGCTCCACTCCCTCGCTGCAGCCGAAACCCGCCCCACGCGTGGAGCTGAGCCACCCTTTGGAGCGGCTGAAGGCCACCTGGTGGCTCTTACAAGCCTTTCTAGGAAGAAGGGCGCGACTTCGGGGCGGGGGCTTAATTCCGGACAAAAAGAGAAGAGTTCGATCGCTGGAAGCGGCTTTTCTTTTGCTTTTCTTTTCTTTTCTTTTCTTTAAGTTCACCAGCTTGCTCTTTAGAAGGCCCTTTCTCTCTCGAATTACCGATTTCGGGCTGCGAGAAGTAAAGCTACGGTATCTCTGCTGGCAATTCAAAGCGCCTCTCGGAGCCTCTTAATTTATAACACCAATAATTTATGGGATCGCTTCTTTTCTAACCTCCCTGCGCTTCTTGGGAAAAACCAGCCGCTGCACCATCAGGTGATAAGGCAACAAGGCAGGATCTGAATGCCGGAAACGGATCCAGGTTGACGCCTCGCTTTCAGAGGACGGTTAAAAAGAGAACAGCTAAGATTACAATATTCCACAGAGTGAGGGCGAAGAAAAAGATCTCCTACTGTGCTTTTTCTCTTCCTAAATTTTGGAGCAAAAATTTAGAGTAGAGTGGGTCGCATTTGGCTCACTCCACACTGCGGAGCCCTATGCAACTTGGGGTTTACTTCCAAGTAGGTGTTTCAATTCTCTGACCGCTAAACTTTTATGTAAATTCAATGCCAGCTGCAAGTTGTTATTAGAATAAGCTATATGGGAAACTGGGAAATTTCTGTAACTTTGGAAGGAAATTTTAGTTTCACATGGAAATATCTGGTTGAGTGATTGCTACTTTTTTCTCCCACCAACTTGGCTATTTAAATCTTAATTTTTAGAAATAAATTGATGAGGTTTCTTGTATAAGATCTATACACATTCAAGCCACAAATAAAATTAATTGATCTCCTAACTTGATTGCATTTGTTTCCATGGAAATACAGTGAAGGTGTAAGTCATACAGTTTGAAGTAGGATGTTTCACTGGACTGAAGAACAACTAGCTTAAAATGCTACAAATAAGAAGAAAGGAAACCTACAATTATATTATACTTTCTCTTGTATATTTTTTCATGTATTATTTATAGGCTTTCATTATGTTGTCATTTAAGATAACTAAAAATATTTTAAACAATTTCAAATGCCATCCATAGTGCAAATACAGCGCAAACTACAATCCTGAAAAAAGATATTGTCAAAATCCGTATTTGGGAGGGGGGAGAGAATCTATCAAAAAATAATTCAACCTTCTTTTCTGTAAAATAAATATTATTAAAATAAATATTAAATTATTTAATGTAAAATTTCATTCTGAAATTCCCCATTGAGTTTTGAGTCTCAATTGTACTTCTGACATTTATACTTTTGAAAATTCACTTCCTATAAAACAGTTTGGACACTAGGGAGGAAAATCCAGTGGCTCAGATGTTAAATGAAATGAACAAGAGTTAAAGGTATATGATATTTCCAAACAAGCCAATGAAAAAAAGTTAAATTTCTTCCTCCTTGACTGTATTCTCAGTATTCTCAGTGTTTCCAATTCTCTTGCTACACCATTAAGAAAACCTTGAAAGTAAATAAAATTAAATAAAACCACCCATTTTCAAGGAAGTTACAGTAAGGTAAGGCTTTGATAAACAACCTATTGGGAGATTACTGTTTTCCAGAGAACACTTGTGGCAATGCTGCCCAACATTTAATTTAAGCTTATTTCTTAAGTTCATGAAACTTTGGAGACGTGAGTCCTGCTGCTGTTGAACAAGGAGGGAGCCCTGCAAAATGCAAAGATGGAAAGGCCAGCTTGAAGCTACTTTCGGACCTGCTTAATTTAAAGTAAATTGTAGGCATATTTGAGATACCTAGGAGATTTAGTCCTATGCCTCACATTTAAGAGTGGGTTTGGGATGGTCCTATATGCTAGTGGTTTCGATTGGGATCTTGCTGCATGCAATTCTCTACCAGCACAAAATCGGTAAATTTATTTTGGAGTAAAACTTGTGCAAGTTTGCCGCAGAATTCTGCTGTGCAGAGGAACAAATTCGGATGGGATGCCTCAAAGCACTTGAGAAAAGAAAGGACCCCGTGCCTAGAGAAAACTCGGTGGGTACGTACGATTGTTGGGGTCTGCGGTGTGCTGGTTGAGGGGAATGATCTCCATGCGCTGTTGCCCGTAGAGGTAATAGTCCAGTTCTTCGGCGGTGCAGCGAAACTTGGACGCCCCCCTCTCGCTGCACTTGGCCAGGCTGCCGCCGCCGCCGCCGCCCCCTCCCAAGTCCTTGGTCTGCAAGAGCGAGAGCGGGGCTCCCGTCGCGGGATCGGCGCTTTGGATCGGCCCAAAGACGGGGATCTGCGCCATCGGCAACGAAGTCAAGCTGGCCAGGGAGGCGACGGCGCACGAAGATGGGGCGGACGAAGGAGTGGAAGAAGAGGAGGAGGAAGAGGAAGAAGAGGAGGACGAGGAGGTGGACGAAGAGAGAGAGGCCGGGAGCTGCCGAAGGTTGTCGCAGGTTGGGTCGACGACTCTTTCGGGCGCCTGAAGGGGATGGCCCAGCAGCCCCACGCCGCCTTTCAGTTGGCTGCTGGCCGGGAAAAGCTGCTGCCAGTGTTGGAGGTAAGCCGGGTCCACCTTGAGGAAAGCTGATCCGCCGGGGTCACCGGGCTTCAGCATCTCTGCGAGCCTGAGGAGGAGGAGGAAGGAGGAAGGAGAGCTGAGAGGTTCTGCAGGGATTTTGGTCACCCGGGTGGGTCTCAGTCCACTAGACAAGCGCAGGCAGGAGAGAAGCGTGGGTCTTTTACTGAGCGCCCACCCGAGATTTCCCGGGCACCATTGAGAACTGGGGAAGCTCGTTCAGGTTCAGGCGCAAAGCCTGACAGGGTGGACCCTCCCCCCAACTGTCGCCCGGGGGGGGAGAGGGAGAGGAGCCCGGGGGCTCTGACCTCTCTCCTCCCCCCCAAAACTTCCTGCTCCTCTGGGTTGTAGTTGTCCGCTTTATTCCCACCTTCATTCCCACCGCCCTCTGCGCATCCTACCGCATCCCCCGACCTCTTCCCTTCCAACCCAGGGAGGCCACTCCCGCACACACACACACCCATTTCAAACAAGGAGGGAAGGGGGAAAAGCAGCGAATCTCCAGGACAGCGAGCCGCCGGCTGGGTCCGCAGCGTCCCGGCGAGAAAGTTGGCTCGCGGAAAGCAAACTTCATCCGATCGCCGTCAGGAAGCCCAGCGGCCGGACGGGCAAAGCCTCCCTCCCACCTCCACAGTCCCCCACAGCCCGGGATGCCGGCTCCTAGTACCTGAGCTGCGAGGAGGAGGAAAACCTCTCCCGGAGGTCCAAAAGTGGCGAAAAGGAGGAAGGAGGTCGATTCTCGACAACCTGGGCCGGGTGGGAGGCGAGGACCGATCGAAGCCGGAGGAGGGTGGTGGTGGGGGATCCGTTATCCGGCACGGAGAGTCCGGCTGGCCTCTTGGCTGGCTCGGTGCGCTCTTTGCTGTGGCTGCTCGGCGGAGGCGGCTGGGCTCCGCGGCGTTCAGCGCGCTGGCCGCCTTTGGGCGAGACACGTGGCTTTGACGACAGCACAAACACGAGCGCGGGGGGGAGGGAAGGGGGGGGGGGAGGGAGGGCGGGAGAAAGTGCCGGATTTGGGACCGAGAAACCCCCCGCCCCCCTCCCCCCCCCCCTCCGTCGCCCCCCCCCCCCCCCCCTACATCCACCACCACGACCACCCAAAGGCCCGCACAAAGACGCGCGTGCGCGCGCACCCATCCCGCCTCGGGGGCCGGCTGAAGTTGCGAGCGCCGAAAGGAAAAGGCGGCGGCGGCTGCTGCTACCGCCGCCGTTTTCCTTCACAAGTTCCCGAGCTGGAAGCCAGGGACGCGGACACGCGGACGGCACGCGGACCCGGAGGGAGCCAGGCCGCCTCTCCGGGGACTTTCTCTCGGTTCTAGAAGAGAGCAAGATGTCCCGGCGCGACATCGTGCAAGAGCCACGATCCGCCCCAAAGGGGAGCTCCAGCTGGTGGAGAACGAAATCGCCGAGGAGCAAAAGCGGATCCGTTGGGCGTGGGAACGGGCTGTTTCGCCGATCTTGAAGTGGCGTCAGAAAGGAGATGTTGGCACCCTTGGCCTTTGACTCCCCCCGATGCGACCCCCCCCCTTCCCCCATTTTCAGACTTTCAGCAAAAAGTCAAGTTCCATTTTCGAAACAATTCAGGACTTGCTTGTTTTCTCACAGCCCTTCCACGAGTTGAGCCGGGCAACTGGACCTCGGCTGAGCCTCTCAAGTCGAGGTTGCCCACGCCAGACTAAGCTTTGGGGAACGGCCACTTATTGTGCTCCAAATAGCCTGGGTTTCCTTTCCCAGATAGGGGGTGCGCACCTCCGTGTTGTCTGTATGGCCTGCCCCGCAATATTTTCCACCAGGAACGAATAGAAGGAAGTGCTGGTTAGAAAGCACTTGGAGAAGCGTTTCACTATTTTGCATACAAATAAAGGGGAACCCGTCGGTCGTATCTAATTGTGTGTGGAGAAGGGGGCAATTGGATTATAAATAGGTTCACGCCTTACCCTTTGAGTCAGGTTGGTTAAATATAAGATTGGAGGCATTAGCTGATCATCGGAGCCAATTATCCAACCTTATTATTTCAGCCGTACATTACAGGAACTGAATTGCGCTCTAGAAATGGTCGGGAAGCTTCTCCACAACCGGGACAGACTTTCCACTGCGGGCAATTAATTGGGTTAACAATGAGTAGTAATTAACCAGAAGTAAATTAACCTTCTTCTTCTGCACAGTGCCGTTCCCAGCGCCCTTCTCACACTCAAAACCTTTTCATAAATCCATTTTTTGCACAACTGTTTCTCTGCCATTTCTCGACTTGGCTCTTTTGGAGGGATCCTGGAAATTTTGACGCTGTTTAGTTTTTGTGTCTAAGGGAGGACATTTTCACACAAATCTGAACAGAGCAGCTAGGGCTAAAAGCGAAAAGAAACGTTTTGACTGGAGACCTTGTGACAAGGTCATCCATCTTTTTTTTTTTTTCGGGACAGATTGATAACACCGAGGAGGCGAGCGACGGAAAGGACCCATCAGGTCTGTTCTCGAATGCCAAACTCATTCGGAGATATCAAATAGATCGCTGTAGCCTTCTCATTGCCTTGGATTCATTCAAGGTGTTCGGGACAACGATTTCTCGCTGCTTTTTCTCCGGCCGTCGCCACGTAAAGATACCGACAAACAGTATTGCTCTTTGCAACATTGCAGAGTAGAGCTTCTAAAAAGAAGTTTTAGACCAATGTAGAAAGGGACAAACTAGACAGAGAGAAGCGGAAGAAGCAGCTATTAAACATCGAGAAAAGAAACCCAAGACGGTTCTTTTCTCCACGTCTAAGAGCGCACAATCCTAGACGGTCCTGTGTATTTAAAAATCACTCCCGAGTGATTTTGAGGCTTGAGCCTCAACCCACTCGAAAGCAAATAGTCCAAGTCCACCTCTACGGTCCCCATTACAGACGGCTTTGTTTTATTTATGCCCCTGCTCCGCCACTTCCAACATACCCACGGTCTTTAAAAAAAAAAAAAAAAACCACACGCACACGCGAGGAAACCAACCGAACTTGCAAGTGGGGGGGGCGAGAGGGTCAGGCGAGAGAAAGGAAAATCAATAGCTCCATTTGGCTTCCAGGTTAAGATGGAAGAACTGGAGAATCGAAGCCGGCGGATCGGCACGAGGCTTTCTTCGCGCAAGCCTAGTCTCGGCGAACCGTATAGAAAAGAGCGCTGCAAGAAGATCCACGATCCAACCTGAAAGCTGAAGGCTAAATGCCAGATTTATCGGTGTGTGTGTATGTGTGTGTGTCCCCACCCCAACTACGCTCAATTCCCCCAAGCGCCGGCCTGCAGACGTGCGGATCTTTCTTCTCCCCTTCGATGGCTGTGGTTTAAAAACAAATAAAACTCCAAGGCCTCTTCTGGGGGCTACCAGGTTTTTCCACACCCCTTTACTCTGAGCCCTTCGTTAGGCATGTCGGCGGGGGAGGGTTGAGGGGAACCGAGGTTCCACTAGATGTCGGGCGAGCGACCTCGGACGGAGAAAGGCCGGGAGCGTCCCTTCCTTTTCCCTGTACTTTCCCTTCAAAGCAGCCTTGGATCTCGGCTTCAAGAGAAGCTAAGCAGCGTCCGCTATGAACTGGGCAGGCACGGCAGAAGATGGAGCGATTGCTCTGGTAAAGCGTGACAAGGGTGGGTGGGTTGGGACACTGGACAAAAAACAAACAAACAGCGCGATGAGTCGCCGGAGCCAAAGTGCGACCAAGGAGTGTCCCTTTTTCTTTGCTCCAGTCAAGGCAAAGCCATCCTCGGTTAAGTCTCGCTTTTCTTTTCTTGCTTTTCATAACCCCTCACTCTAAACCAGAGGCCTCCAACCTTGGCAACTTTAAGCCTTGTGGACATCAACTCCCAGAATTCCTCAGCTGCTTTAAACTTTTGGGGTTTCCCCCTTTGCTGGTTTTCAGAAAGCGGCTTCTGGGCTTAGAAAGGTCGTGAGCAAGACCTCTCTTCGTCCCACTTCCCATCCCATCTCCCCACCCCGGGCCACAAATTTAGTATTCCGGCCCAGGCAGGCGCGCGCCCACCCTTCCCCGCCCCTGGCGTTTTCATCGGGCTTTTTTTCTTTTCTTTTCCTCCCCTCTTTAATTGATTATTATTTATAGGGCGAACAGAGAAACAAATCACATCGACCCTCTCGAAAGCGATCACACACTTTTGATAAAAAAATAAAAAAAAATCCACCGCCCACACCAAATCGATTGGCGAATATTTGTTAGGAATCCATTCCCAGAGAAATAAATAAGGAAAGGCGAAGTGTATTACATGCAAAAAGGTGAAATGCGGTGGGGTTTTTCTTCATTGATTAATGACCTCTAAAATAAAACAAGCAGGAAGAGGAGCCAGAATCGATAAATTAACTGCCCAAATCCATCATTTTTTTTTCCATGGGAATATTGCATATCTTCGAGTGGGGGTGCTTTTTCCCCCTCTCTTAATGCTTTCTTCTTGAGAAAGCAAGGAAACATAAGCTGGGCGAAACGAAGACTGTAAAAAAGGGCTTTGAATCAGGGAGGCCCTATCTGATTTCGTTTGACACGCAATTAAAAAAGTTTCTTTTCATATTAATTAATTCTCTCAATCTGATGGGGAAGACAAATGGTCGAGTGCCTCTGACAGGAGACCGATAAAGGCTTCAGCAGTTTCCTTTCCAGCCCTGGGCGCCTCTTCATCCTACTTTTAAGGTCAGGAGAGCGAACTTAATAATTCATTAATAGAGACATTTATCCGGAAGCTATTCCCATCCCAACTCCTGCGGAGCCCCTTTTGGAAATCGGGGGATTTTTGGCGGGGGAGGGGCTAGACAAAGAGAGTGCAAAGCGTGGGATGGCCTGAGAGGAAAGTGATGGGTACCTGGACTTTGTGTGGGTGAGTGAGGGGCGGAGGGGGGAGGCAGTTTTGAACTAGAGAGAAAATAAAAAACCCTGGAACAAAATAATCAGGAATGTCATCGCTTCTTTCCTGGAGCTCTTAATATCTCATATCCTGGGGTCTCCAACCTTGGTAATTCATGCAATTCTGCGAGTTGAAGTCCTCCAGGCTTAAAGTTGCCAAGATTGGAA